CCCCCCCGGGAAGGGAGGTGAGCGGCAGACAGCCGACCCTCCTCCCCTGCTCCCTGGCTCTGGGCTACGCATCAGGGTCTGCAAGCTCCTGCCCTCCCTGGGCCTTGACATATTCACTGAATAACGAGGACCCAGGGCCAGATGGTCTCCGAGTCCCTTCCAGCTCGAACGTTCCGGCAGCCTGTGGGGCAGGGGGTCTGCTGCCCTGTCGGGTGCCTCCTTCCCACCAGCTCATGTGCCTCTGTGCGGGGAGGCCCTGCGGCAGGGTTTGCGTGAGCTCCGCCCCGGGACGCCCTAGGCAGGTCTCTGGGTGCCCCGATGGCTTCTGGCTGCGGGTCTGGCACGGCCCTGCCCGCCCTCCAGGGGAGCTCTTCCAGAGAGACATGAACGGAAAGGCCCAGCTGCTTTGGATGCGCCCAGAGGAGGAAGGCGGGGCCCGGCAGTGAAGGAAGCCCCTTCCTGACAGCTGGGGGCTGCGAGTGCCCCAGAGTCATCCTGCCGGCTTCTGCAGGCACAGAGCCAGCTGTGTGGCTTCCCGACGGGGACCGACAGCAGCGAGTGACGTCCCCACGGTGGCCCGGTCATGGCGGTTCTTGCCTCACTTTCCCAGTGCACAGGACCCGCTCCCCCGCCACTGCTGGTGCTGAAGCCACCCTCTCCTCTGGGCTGGGCTCCGTTCCCCTGGGTTCCTAAAAACAGCCATGCCCTTTGCTCACGAAGGCTTGGGTGGCCTCCAGGGTTGGGTGCAAGTGCTCCGCTCCGTGGGGCTGTGGCAGGGGGACATGTCCTCCCCTGTCACACCGTCCATCCCAGAGGGCGGTGGCCAGAAAGCCTCCCTCTTTACAGCAGCACAAACTGCCTCAGCCCCTAAGGTGCCGATGCTCTGCAGGTAGGGACCAGTGACACCCTGGGGAGCGAGGTCTCCTCTGTGACAGAAGGAACGGCCTCGTCCCACAAGGTGAGGCGGGACCTCCGCGGGACCCCAGGCTGGATCACGTGATACGTGTGCTGCCTTTGTCCTCGTCCACAGTCTCCCAGAAGCACGTCTTGTCCCAGCCCCGGAGACAGACGGGGAGGCCTGGTGGCCTCACATGTCACTTACCTTTCTTGTTCTTCTCTTTGGTGACCACAGTCATTGCCATGGTGCCAGAAAGCTGGGCCTCCCCACCGTGGGGCAGGCGGGAAACCTGCACCGAGCGGAAGACGCTCTTGAGGGTGTTCTTGGAGCTGGCGTCCCTCTTGTCACCTTCCCTCCTCCGCTCCCCAGGGTGGCCCAGCCAGTAGTCCACCTGGAGGCCAATCACGTCCCCATACGGGCTGCTGGGGCTCCTGGAGAAGGGGCGACGCCAGAGAGTGGGCTCAGTTCCCGACCACAGGGCAGACGGGGTGGAGAGGGCCCCGTCAGGCTCTGGGAGGGGCCGGGGGAGGCGCCCGCTAAGTGGCTCCGGGTTCCCTCCAGCCTCACAGCACTGGCTGGTGTGGGAGTCGAGAATCAGGCTGATCCGAGGACACAGCCACGAGAGGGTGAAGACCTGAGTCCGCACGAGGGAACCGAATAAAAGGTCACACGGGAACGAGGGAAGCAGAGAGGAAGGAAGCTTTATGAAGGGAGAAAGTGTGTGCATGCACACGTGCGCACACATACACAAGGACACACACACACATGCACACCCCCCACGAGCAGAGCCGCGGCAGAACCCCGCCAAGCGTGGGAGAGATTAAGTGGGGCAGAGGCGGGAGGGCAGAGGCGGGAGGACCGTGGCGGCTCCGGAGCAGCTCCGGGAGAGCTGACGGATGCCGACCTGTGGCTTTCTCCCGTTTATGGCACTTCTAACTCAGGGATAATTTTAGCTCCAAGGGGAAAAAGAGCTGATGTTTTCTTGAAAGGAGGCGCCAGACACAATAGGTACAGGCTGCAAAAGTCATCTGATGTTTTTCTTTCTGCCTGGATTCAGTGGTTCCATTAAAAAACCAGCTTAAACTGGATGGGAAAGGAGGTCGGGGTAAGGCTCGCCCCCAGGCACCCAGGAAGCCTGGGCCGTGAGGTCACGATGTGACCTGCGGTGGGATTTCCTCCTTTTCATGCACTTCGGCAAGTCAGCGGCAGACCCTTGATGGGAAGTGAAGGGGGAAGACAGGGCAAGGGAGGGTGAGGGCTGGGGTCTGGGCTCCGCCCTGAAAACACTTCATATTCTGTCACTGGGGGTTCTGGAAAAGCCACTGGCCAGGCAGGGCCTACCCTCTCTGCTCCATGGGGACCATCACCAGAAGACCAAGAAGGTGAGGGTAGAAGAAAGGGAATGGGGAGCAAGAAGGAGCAGGGGCTCCTTTCAGCCCTTTCCCACCTCGAAGGCTGTTCCCTGAGCCCCGCTGTGGGACTGCCCTCCCGCCCACCCCCACTCTGGTCAGCTCCCGGAGGCCTCCCTGCCCGCCTGGTCTAAACTTTGGATATTTTACATCCTAAAGAGATTCCCGTCCCCCTTCATAGCCACCCCTCCCTAACTGTACACAGCACTCTCTCTGTGGCTTTGGTGCTGCTGGGGCCCAGGAGCCTGGGCTCTGGAACAGGGTCCTGCCCGTGTCATTGGCCGCGGCAGCCTTTCAGTGATGGACAGACTGAGTGCCTGGAAGGAGGCCGCACCTCCACGGGCCAGGCACTAATGCACGCTCTTATTTCCGCCTCACAGCAAGACTGATGTGGCTATTTCACCTTTACTTTCACAGAGTTGAAATGAGGCTTAGTAACTTGCCCAAGTGACAAAGATTCTTTGCTTGACCAAACTTTAGTCAGGCTCCTGCACCTCTTCCCGGGCCCACCTGTGCACTTCCTTGGAAAATCCAGTTCTTGCAAGAAGCCCCCGGCCCGCATTTCTGGTCACCCTGGATCTCTGATCAGGCTCTGCACCCTCCACCTTCCCTCAGGAGTGTCGCCAGCAAGGCTCCTGTCAGGTCTGTTTAGCCGGAATCACACCCCTCCTCACTCCCGACGTTCCTCCTGGTGATTTTCCATCCGCTGCCCCCACGCTGCTCCTGGACTGTAAACCCAGCTGCTCAAGGGTCTGGAGTCAAGTCCCATCCCCCTCTCACTGCAAAATCCCATCGAGGTGGTCCCGACACCCATGGCGACTGTTCCCTACGTGGAGGAAGTCTCTCTCGCTTTGACAGGTGTCACTGAGTGATCTGTTCTTTAACACAAGCTAACACAGTGGACGTAACACAAACCGTGACTCAAATCCGGGTGTGTGTGACGCCCACGCCCACACTCCCTCTACCACACTGGGCAGTCCTACAACGAGACACACGCACAGCACTTTACAGGCTACCAAGGGCCTCTCTGCCCTTTGTCTCACTCGACCTTATACCTGTGAGGCAGACAGGACAGACGGGAGCCTGCATTTGCAGAGCTGTGTGATGACCTGCTTGGCCAGCGACCTAGCTCCACTGCTCTCGTTCCCTCCCCCCGCCACCTTCCAAGCTCAGTGTCACCGTCCTACACGCTGTGGCAGCAGGGAAATCAGTCGGGCTGCTGCCCCGATGGAGGGACGTGGCAGGAAAGACAGGAACCGGCGACAGGCTTACCCCACGACGGCCAGGGCGCTGCTCATGGACGGGGAGGAAGGAGGGGTGGCCATGGCGTCTCGGCTCAGGCCTGAGCTGGAGGGCGGCGACGTGGAGGGCACAGTAAGGCTGACCACGGGTGAGTCATCACCATCGCCTGCCAGCGGGACAGACAGACACAGTTGGGCAGGGGAAGCCGTCCCGACCCTCTGGTGCCAGGGAGTCGAGGCGCCCCCGTCTCGGCTGCAGCCTGCTCCCCACTCCGCCCCGACCACTGCCTCGCTCCGAAGCTCGAGCTCTGCCTTGGCCTGGGACCCCCTGAGTCTTCGCCCTCTGGCCTGTTTGAATAGGAAGGAGACGGCAAGGCACCACCCTCACCCTGTAGAGGCCAAGGGGCCCCAGGCTCACCTGTAGTGGAAGGAGAGTCTTCGACCAGACCCACCTTCACCACCTGGGAGGGAGAAGAGATGCCGCATTAGACCCTCCTACCAAAGCTGGATGCGCTCTGATCAGCTGGAGCCAGCGGCCGCCACTGCACACTGTTGGATCGTAGGCTTTAAAACTCTGCCGATCCCGAGCAGACCGGATAGTTAAGAGGTGTGAAAAAAAAACCCAGTTGCAAACAATAAGTCAGGGGGCACAGGAGACCTGCAGCTCTTCTCTGGGGATGCGGGCAAGGCCACCTGGAGGGTGGGAAGCACTTTCATATCCTGATTTCATTTCTTCTAAGACCACTTGGGCAGGAGGCCGTCGTCTCATGTCAGAGAGAGGGGAGGACCGGGAGAAAGCCTCGGCAGACAGGAGCGGGGTGCGGCGGGGGGTTGGGGG